TGATCTACAACTTTAGATCCTGTTCTACAACATACTGTCTCAATATTTCTATACATCTCAAAATGTATGTGTGCTTGCGTGTTCAGTCATGTCTGACTCTTTGCGACCCTATGGACTATAGCCTTCCAGGCTCCTCTGTCCATGGGATTCTCCAGGCAAGAATCCTGGAGTGGGTTGCCATGCCCTCCTCTAGGAGATCTTCCCAAACCAGGGATCAAACCTGTGTCTCCTGTGTCTCTTGCGTTGCAGGTGGGTTCTTTACCACTGAGCCACCAGAGAAGCCCACATTTCAAAATGATGTAAGTCTATTTACTAGTGTCACCATACAAAGATATTACACAGTTATTGACTATATTTTTCACACTGTACATTTCAGACCTATGACTCATTTATTTTGTAACTAGAAGCTTGTACTTTTAATCTCCCTTACCTTTCTCCCCCACCATTCTTACCTACCTCCCCTCTAGGAACCACCAACTTGTTCTCTATATCTATAACTCTGTTTCTGTTTTATGTTTGTTCATTTACATTTATTTTAGATTCCACATGTAAGTGAAATCATATGGCGTTTGCTTTCTCCATCTGACTAACTTCACTTAGCATAATATGGACCTCTAGGTTCATCCGTGTTGTCACAAATGGCAAGATTTTGTTCTTTTTCATGGCTGAGTAGTATTCATATATGAATATTATATGTATATATATATATACATTACATCTTTATTCATTCATCTATTGTTGGGTACTTAGGTTGCTTCCATAACCTGGTTGTTTCAACTAATGCTGCAATGAGCATAGGCATGCATACATCTTTTCTAATTAGTGTTCTTGTTTTCTTTGGGTAAATACCCAAGAGTAGAAGCTGAATCAAATAGTGGTTCTATTTTTAATTTTTTATCATAATAGCTGCACCAGTTTCCATTCCCACCAATAGTGCATGAGGATTTCCTTCTCTCTACATCTTGTTATCTTTTTGATAACAGCCATTCTGATCTTCACATCCCTTTGGCAAGTCACAAAGGATAAACTGCTGTTGTTTTACTTTTCAAGACCAAGGTCTTGCCCTTTATTTTTATTTTTTTCTAACATTTACTTTTTAACTTTTATATTATAGTGGACTATAATTGATTTACAATGTTGTGTTAGTTTCAGGTGTACAACAAAGTGATTCATTTATACATATAAATATATCTATTCTTTTTAAAATTCTTTTCCCACTTAGATTATTATAGAATATTGAGCAGAGTTCCCTGTACTATACAGTACGTCCTTTTTGGTTACAAAGGTGAGTTTGTAGTGTTAAAAAGAAAACCATAGGCCCAAAATGGCATCATTTATGCTGAAGCCCATGATAACAAACTTAGATTTAATATCTCATCTAACTGCAGTTTTTACTTTTCCTGGGGAATGTAGTCTCAGTCATTCATCCTGGAATTTTCTGATGAGCACCAACAAGGTAATCTGTCATTTGGACCCTCTCCATCCCACCCTCCACAACCCCTACAAAGGAAGAAGATGGAATCTGCATGATTCAACCTCACCCTTTCCCCAAATAAGGTGATCTGGCGTAAACAATCCTTTCCTTTCATTTGCTAATTGCTTCCTTGCCCACCTATAAAAACCATTCATTCTGCACCAGGTCTTCGGGCTCCTGTCTCTTTACTAGCTGGGATACTGCCTGATTCACCAAGACTGAGCAAAGTCAATTACAACTCAAGATTTACTTGGCGGAATATTTGTTTTTTTAACAACAGATAACTGGGCAATGTGCCTTTTAGACAGTGCCAATATATAATTTCCCTGGAAGATAAAGATTCATACAGAGTAGACTAAGTCAGATGACCTGGGGTATACTGGGCCACATCTAATGGAAGTTCTTAAGTCTTACTATGACATTACTAATGCTGCTGGCTATGTTATTTGTATTTCATCTGTTACAAAATTGCTGTTTCTTACACTGCCAAATGTGTGACTGAGGCCTCTGATAAAATAATGCTTAGTTCCATGTGAGATTGATGATGATGGTAACAGTGTAAGTCTAGATATGGGAAGAAGCAACAAGAGGGAATGTTTTCTTGGACCAAGAGGCTAGTAAGACAGGTGGTCCAGAGAATTTTGGATACTGTTTTATGGCCTAGTCCGGTAACAGCACACTGAGTGACCTGTCAACAAATCTCTGCCAAACCTGAGAATGGACATTCTCAGCACCATGGGATAAAATGGTCATGAAATGCCCCCCTCAGAATCATGGTCAAGTTTATGAGTGAAAAGGGGCTCTGCCAACTGAAAACCGACATTTGCCATCTACATCCACAAAGATTAAATCATGGCCACTGCAACAGCTGACCTTCAGCTCCCCTGAAAGGAGTTCAGNTAGGCTTCATTCAGCCTCCTTGACCTTCCCTGAGTTCCAAAGGGTGGATTCAAACAATTGCTAATCAGGGAAGGGAGGGAATACAGAAACAGAGGAGAAACAATCAAATGGTGGTACAGCCTTGAGACAGGGTCCTAGTTCCTACTCAAAGAAATATGCATAACAGTGTCTTTTGGGTTCGACAGAACTGGAGCCCCCACCCAAGTGGAGGACGGTGACTTCAGACTAAACACAAGATTCTGGAGCACAGCTCTGTTGCTTCACCACCAACCAAAAAAAAAAAGTCACAAACCCTGCAGCCCTCACCCCAAATGTTGCCTCCTGTTTCTGGGGACCAGTGATGACCATCCTGTTAGGTCTCCTGTTTGGCCCCTGTCTATTTCATCTCTGAGAGGAGCCAGCAATTTCTAACTAAATTGCTGTTATTACAAGGGTGAATGCTGGTTTCAGGCAAAAAATACCTTGGCTTAGATCAGGTAGAGAGAGACTTCGGCTCTGCTAGGCAGGCCTACACCCATGCACAGCAGGAACAAGTTACAGAAGAAAGACCTCCGCCCTATTCCCAAGAAGTATCTTGAGTATGAAGTCTCTCCGGGGAGAGTTGTTAGGGAAAGAGCACTGACTGAAACCACCCACCCTGGCCAGGCACCGTAGTAACCATTTGCTTGAGTTGTTTTAAGGCAGGAGGCCCTGGTAAGGAACACAGAACTAATAAGCCACCACCAACCGGAAGAGTTCCGGAAAGGTCCAAAGGAGACCCCACATGTCTGACCACTTCCCAGAATCCTCTCTGGCATCCATCTTGGCTGAACAAGGCGTACACCACCAGGAAGGACTCTGAGTCAGAATGATTGGCTAAGGACAACCCGGAAACTAATCCCATCACTGTAAAATCCGAGACTGCAAGCCAGTTCTGCAGAGCGGTTCTCCTGGGTTCTCTTACCCTCCTGCTCTCCACCCGGGTGCTCTTTCCCAATAAAATCTCTTGCTTTGTCAGCACACGTGTGTCCCCGGACAATTCATTTCCGAGTGTTAGACAAGAGCGGTCCTCCTTCCTGCAACACTTCAAGCTAGGCTTCAACAGTATATGAGCTTCTAGATGTACGAGCTGGGTTTAGAAAAGGCAGAGGAACCAGAGATCAAATTGCCAACATCCATTGGATAGTAGAAAAACCAAGGGAATTTCAGAAAGACATCTACTTCTGCTTCATTGACTACTCTAGAGATGGGAATACTAGGCCACTTTACCTGCCTCCTGAGAAACCTGATTGCTGATCTAGCCCTGCATGGACCCAAATGGTTACATTTTACCATGACTCCAGTAAGTGTAGAGGACACATTAAGTATAGTCATTCTTTTTGACCATCAAGCTCCTGAATCCTTTCCTGTATTTCCCACTTCTTACTATCAAAACTGAAAATTACAGATAGCCTTTTTTTAGGCTCCATTGCAGCTAGAGAGTAGGCACAATACCTAAGTGCCACCAATCATTTATTCACCTTGACACCCACCCTCCACCCCCCACCCTGCCCTCACCTGTGAGTTGGAAATTAGGGTAACCTGATCCTACTCTTATTAATACTTAGCTTTATTTGCTTCACTCCAAAACTCTGGTGTTGGCAGATCTGGCTTTTACTTCAAATGTTATTTCATTCATTATGCATTTTTTTTGCATTAACTGGTATTTTTTAAAAAAATATTGCATTGAAATATTACTTTGATTACTGATTTTTTGCCACCGTTATAAATCTTATGCCAAGGTGAGTGTCTAGCTCACCTCACTTTAACCCGACTTCAGGCCCTGGAACAATCACTCTCAATCTGTTCTGGTAAGAGTGGTGATGGCTCCATGTAGTTTCTAGAGACATCCACAGAGGTCTCATTGGCCAGAATTGCATCACATGGTCATCTTCCCTTGGAAAGCAAACTCAGCTTTTTATAATCTAGAGAGGCAGGCAAAGAAGAAAGAGGTTAGTGAGGAATGAATATTAGCTCATACAGCCAATAATGTTTGTCATGGCAGTATATATTACTTTGCTGTTCTCTTTTAATCTATTTTACTTATCTAAATGGAGAAAGGGACTCCCCTCATATCTCACTCAGTAGAGAAACTGCCTGCAATGCAGGAGACCTGGGTTTGATTTCCACGTCGAGAAGATCCCCTGGAAAAGGAAAATGGCAACTCACTCCAGTATTCTTGCCTGGAGAATCCCCTGGACAGAGGAGCCTGTTAGGCTACAGTCCGTGGGGTTGCCAGAGTCGGACAGGCCTTAGAGACTAAACCATCAAATGGAGAACAGACATAAGGCACTTAGCAGGACCCTTATTAATTGACCTCTGGTTAATGGGAACACTGAACAGAGTCATTCCCTTTGTATTTTCTATTTTATATTATCTCTCTTTTTATTATTTTGATAAAATTCACCAAATCCAAGCTTCTGTTTTATAACAGTTTTCTTTAAAAAACTCTTGGATAAACAACCTTATAGTATATTGTCATTCTTCATCTCCGTGGGACTTGAATTACTTCGTTCAAATATTAGCACCTTTTTTTTTTCTTCTGTCTTGCTCCTTTTCCCAATTTCAAACCCATTAACCTTTTCCTTCTCTTTATTTATTTTATTTATTTTTTTTTGAGGTCGAGTAGTGTCATGTTAACATTCAAGAAAGTAAAACCAATAATTACCTCTGCAGTAGCTCATTAACAGCTGGTAACACATGGAGGTCAATGCACCAGAGATTAAAAAAAATGTGATCGATACAATTGGGGACCCCCTCCACTAGAGGATGGGGAACTGTACCCTATTACCAACAATAGTCACCCCCAAGAAATGCAAGCAGCCACATCCATCCTCCTTCAGCGGGTAGATCCACTATACTTGTCATGTAGATCAGCGACATTGTCACTGGAGACCCGGATCCAGCCATCCTCCCTGACATGGTAGAGGTTGACTGAACCTCCTGAGTAGGCATCTCTGTAGGTGGCTTGGTAGATGGCTCGACGGGCCAGATCATAGGCCTCCTCCACCTCCAGGTCATAGGAGTAACCCCGATCCATGACCCCATAAGCATATACAGAGCCAGAGCCTACAGAGAAGGTGGCCCCCGAGATCCGGTTTCCTTCACTGTCCACGTAGTAGAGGCCAGGGCCTCTCTTATCCCAGCCACAGATCATGGTGCCCATGGACAGCCCCATGCCTTTATACTGATACACCATGTTGGCAAGCAGCTTGGAGGCAGCTGCTACAGAGATGCGTTCCTTGTTTCGAAGCTCATAGATTCGACATTGCCGAGCCAATAGCCGCTCCCAGAAGCTGCAATCCGCTGCACCCCCAGCCATGGTGCCCAGCAGGTAGGGATTGATCTCTATCACCTTCTTTACTGTCTGGGAGGCGATGTAGGCACCGGCTGTGGCCCGGGAATCTGCTGCAACAGTGACTCCGTGGCGAAACTTGAAGGCCAGGGTGGTGGTTCCATGAAGCATTTCAATTCTCGGCTCCTCTGGGACACCCCAGCTGGGCGCGGCCAGGTTCAGCCCATCGCTGGGACTGCCTGGACCCAGGTCCAGCAGATCCGCACGACTCCCGAGTCCAAAAAACCCGCGCCGGTTCACCGGTAGTGGCCTCTCCAACACGCTGGCCAGCGCCATGTCTAGTAAGGGCTTTCCTTCTCTTTAAACATTGCTCTGAATTGTTCTTTGTCCCAAAGGTAATACCTGCTCTTCCTCTGTCAAGCTGACCTGTGATTGTATCACCAACTGAAGCTCAGCCTCTTGGCAAAGACCACAGGCCCTTGGGGAATAGGCATCTTATCCCTGGCAGTGTGTGTCCAATCCTCTGGTGGCCATGACATCCACTGCTGCTGAATATTCCCTCCAGTTGAGGGCAGGAACTGTGCATGGTGCCTGCTAGCCCAGTGTTTCTCAGACTTCAATGTGCAAACAAATCCCCTGGGATTCAGTTAAAAATGCAGATTCTGGTCCAGTGGTTAAGACTTCTGGCTTCCACTGGAAGGGGCACGGGTTCTCTCCCTGGTCAGGGAAGTTCAACATGCTTTGTGGTACAGCCAGAAAGGAAAAAATGAAATAAAATGCAGTTTCTGATTCAGAAGGTCTGGGGCAGAGCTAAGATTCTGAGTTTCAAACAAGTTCCCAGGTGGTTCTAATGCCAATGGCCCACATACCTTGGAGTAATAAGGAATTTAAACATATATCTGAGTGAAAAAGAAGGAGACAGTGCCCACAATCCATCAGGGCAAAGACAGAGGCAAATGAGGCATTGAGGGATGTCTGCAGCACTGAAGAAGGCCCTGAATTCAGGTAGAGCCCCTGCACTAGCATGCTCTTAATCCTGCGAGTGTGTTTCCTTACATTGTGAGTCCTAACACCTCACTTGCCCACCCTACTTCCAATCCCAGCCCCAGTCACTGCCAAGCAACATTTTGATAGATGTTCCTTCAGACTGCTTCCTTCCTTCCCTCCTTCCCTTTTCTTTTCTTTCCTTCTAGTATTTTGTGCTTTCTGCTGTAGCCCTGAGAGGTTGCTGCCGAAATGGGCAAGTTCATGATACCCCGAATGTGATGCTGGTCCTGGCTGGTCACTACTCCGAACGCAAAGCAGTCATCATGAAGAACATTGATGATGGCACCTCAGACCGCATCTACAACCATGTTCTGGTGGCTGGAATTGATTGCTCTCCCTGCAAAGTGACAAGTGCCATAGGCAAGAAGAAAACTGCCAAGAAGTCAAAGATCAAGTCTTCTGTGAAAGTTTATCATTCCAATCAGCTCAGGCCCACGAAGTACTCTGTGGATAACCCCTTGGACAAAGCTGTAGTCAACGAGGACATCTTCAGAGAATCTGTTCTCAAACGCAAGGCCCAACGAGAGGCCAAGTTAGTCTGAGGAGAGATACAAGGCTGCAAGAACAGATGGCTCTCCCAAAAGCTGCAGTTTTAGGTCTGTCTGTTTCAGTCCCCAAAAACAACCGCCTCCCCCCTCCCCAATTATGTTTTATTTATTTAATGAACTCCTTTTAAGCAACTAGATGGCCTCACCTGGCTGAAAGTTATCATCGCAGGTAATAATGTTTATTGTGAGTGTGTTGAGTAGTATATTGGGAATCACAGATTTCAGTAGAATAAATTAACTGCCAAGTGGTTAGCAATTTTCCTTTCTCTTTATATCAGTTTCAGGCATACAGATTACTTTCTAATGCACACATAAACACAAATGGGATCATACGGTACATGATTATTACTATGTGTAATTATACCTGCAATATTTCACAGACACTATTGTACTCTTTTTTAAAATATTTATTTCTTTATTTGGCCGTGCTGGGTCTTAGCTGCAGCACATAGGGTCTTCCATCTTCGTTGTGGCATGCAGGGTCTTTGGGTCCTAATCCCCTGACCAAAAGTTGAACGCAAGCCCCCCACATTGGGAGCCTTAGCCACTGGACCACCAGGGAAGTCTCCAGTATCGTACTTTTGTTATAGTATTTTTCTATTTATATCTAAGTTATGATAGTTTAAAACCCTCAAATTAAATCCTCAAATTTGAAAGCTTAATATCAAATTCATTTACTAATCCTATTACTCAAATATGTACAGTTACTTCCTCTGAGTTGGAAGGATTATGAGTGGTTATTATCTCTTTCTTATACTTTTCTATACTTTCCAAATTTTTCACATTGGACTCATGTAATGTTAATTTCAATTTTATTTTTATCGAAGTAGTATGGACTTGAAAAACACAAAATTATCTACAATATTATAATGATAAATAGCAGTTCCTTGCCCCACCCACTGCCACTGGAGTTAATCAGCAAGCAGCTGCTTTCAATGCTTTTAGTTGTTTCTTCTGTTATTTATCACCTTGTTTCTAAATAACATTGCTTTTTCTTAAATTTCCAATTTTAGATATTTTTTAACTTCCTCAGTGAAGATGAAGATTTTACTTAGTTGCACCACAACTTCCATATAACTTCTTCCACCACTGTCATTTTCCTTAAATCAATATTTTATTCTAAAAAGAAGACATACGGATGGCCAACAGTACATGAAAAGATGCCCAACTTTGCTAATTATTAAAGAAATGCAAATCAAAACTACAATAAGGTGTCACCTCACACCAGTCAGAATGGCCGTCTTCTAAAAGTCTACGAATAATAGATGCTGGAGAGGGTTGGTGGGAATGTAGGTTGGTGCAGCCACCATGGAGAACAGTATGGAGGTCCCTTAAAAACTAAGATGATCCAGCACATGATCCAGCAGTCCCACTCCGAGGTACATATCTGGAAAAAACAAAAACTCTAGTTCAAAAAGCAGCACTATTTACAATAGCCAAGCCATGGAAGCAACCTGAGTGTCCACTGACAGAGGCATGGATAAAGAAGATGTAGTACATACATACAATGGAATATTACTCAGCCATAAAAAGAAATAATGCCATTTGCAACATCATGGATGGACCTAGAGATTATCATACTAAGTGAAGTAAATCAGCGAAAGGTAGATATCATATGACATTGCTTATATGTGGAGTTTAACAAAATGATACAAATGAACTTATTTACAAAACAGAAACAGATGCACATAGAAAACCAATTTGTGGGTACCACAGAGGAAAGGAGATAAATAAATTAGGAGCTTGAGATTACCAGATGCACACTCCTATAGAAAAAACAGATAAAACAAGGACCTACTGTATAACACAGCAAAGTATATTGTAATAATCTATAATGGAAAATAATCTGAAAAAGAATATATGTGTATTTCTTATATATATGTAAAGCTGAATCACTTTGCTGTACGCCTGAACCTAACACAACACTGTTAATCAACTGTACTTCAATTATAAAAGATTGTTTTTAATTCAGTGTTTATAACTGAACCAAATGACTCTGTCCTTTTTTTTTTTAATATTTATTTATTTATTTGGCTCCACTGGGTCTTAGTTGAGTCACTCGGGATCTTAGATCTTTGTTGTAGCATGCAGGACCCTTAGTTGTGACATGCAGTGTCTTTTAATTGCAGCATGCTAACTCTTAGTTGTGGCATGTGGGATCTAGTTCCCTGACCAGGGATCGAACCCAGGCCCCTGGCATTGGGAGTGCTGAGTCTTAACCACTGGACCACCAGGGAAGTCCCACTATCCTGTCTTCTTAAGCCATTTTTTTTTCCCTGAAGTTAACAATTGCTTCGATTTTTTTCCCTTGCATAGTTTTGTTTTTAAGATATCTGTCACTGATTTATCTGCAGGTTCTCTGTCAAACTGGATAGCTTTGATCAGATTATGGTCAAACAGCTCTTTTTTTTTTTTGCTGTAGGATCATCCTTCCTAGAGTTCTCTGTGTTAGCCAGCACTCCCCAGAGAAACAGGCAATAGAGTAGAGAGAGAAACAGATTTGTTTTAAACATCAGAGTTGGAGAGAGCCAGCAAATTCTAAATCTGTAGGACAGGCTGGAAACTCAGGCAAGGGTTTGCAGCCTTAAGTCTGAAATCCACAGGGTAGGCAAATAAGCTGGAAACTCAGGCAGGATTTTTATCATCTTGGGGCAAAATTCCTTCTCCCTTGGCAAACCTCAGTCTTTGCTCATAAGTCTTTCAACTGAATGGATGAGGCCCACCCACATTATGAAGGGTAATCTGCTTAATTTAACAGTCAAGTGATTATACATGTTAATGATTCTAAAATATACCTTCACAGCAACATCTGGAATGTTTGACCAAAGAGGGCACCATAAACTAGCCAAGTTGACACAGAAAATTAACCACCACACCCTCCATTATCCTACGTAATCTCTTTCCCATTATGTTTACTTTTTTTTCTCTTTGGTTATTTCCCTCCCAGTTAATTTCATGGGCTTCTCTTTAAAATTCACCCACATCTTTCAGTAAATATGTCCCAGGTGAATTAAGACAACCCACCGAAGAGACTTCCCTGGTGGTCCAGTGGTTAAGAATCCGCCTCGCTGGGCTTCCCTCGTGGCTCAGTGGTAGAGAATCCTCCGGCCAGTGCCACATGACACAACAAAGATCTCTCCAACCACAACTGAGACCCAACGCAGCCAAATAAATAAATGACAACCCGTCAGAGAACTGGTGCTAAGGTAGGCAGAGTGGGAGAGTCGGTGGGTATCTCCTCCACCCCCATCCAGCTGCCTTCTCATTTCCATGTCTTTCCCACTGTCCCAGGAGAGCACAAGGGGACACCATGTACTATGTGGTGACTGCCAATAATAAAGGCTGGTCAGGATAAAAAGAATTTACTTGCAACTGTAGTTCTTAAGGGAAGCCTTAGTATAATCAGCTGGCCCTGCCACCTGGTCAGTTTTATCTTAATGCTTAGGCTACGAACCTGAAAACTCAAAAAAAACCCACTAAATGCAGAAGTGACTTTTCATATTGCTTCTCGGTTTCAGACTTCTAGATATGCCACCAATACACTGTACAATGATAGCTTTGGTCATGATTTTGCCTACTTAGAGTTTTTATTTTCTTTGAACTGAATGCTTAGTGATGGGGCTAAAATAATTGAGAAGTCTTAAGGAAAACAGATTTTAAATTAATTTTTTCCAAATGACTCTGTGTGTGTGAGCGCGCATGTGTGATTATGAGTCAGTGTTTCTTTGGGAATTGAGGGCAAAAAATC